TCCTCTCATCAATCTATTGCTCTACTCTCTCTCTCTCTGCTCTCTCTCTCTCTCTCATCCTCTTCTGTTCTTCTTCCTCTCTCCTCTGTCTCTCTCTCTCTCTCTCTCTCTCTCTCTCTCTTCTCGCTCTCTCTCTCTCTCTCTCTCTCTTCTCTCTCTCTCTCTCTCTCCTCTCTCTCTCTCTCTCTCTCTCTCTCTCTCTCTCTCTCTCTCTTCTCTCTCTCTCTCTCTCTCTCTCTCTTCTCTCCTCTCTCTCTCTCTACTCTCCTCTCTCTCTCTCTCTCTCTCTCTTTCTTCTCTCTCTCTCTCCTCTCTCCCTCTCTCTCTCTCTCTCTCTCTCTCTCTCTCTCTCTCTCTCTCTCTCTCTCTCTCTCTCTCTCTCTCTGCGTCTCCTCCTCTCTCTCTCTCTCTCTCTCCTCTCTCCTTCTCTCTTCTCTCTCTCTCTCTCTCTCTCTCTCTCTCTCCTCTCTCTCTCTCCTCTCCTCTCTCTCTCTCTCTCTCTCCCTGTCTCCTCTCTCTCTCTCTTTCTCTTCTCTCCTCCTCTCTCTCCTCTCTCCTCTTCTCTCTCTCTTCTCTCTCCTCTCTTCTCTCTCTCTCTCTCTCTCTCTCTCTCTCTCTCTCTCTCTCTCTCTCTCTCTCTCTCTCTCCCTCCCTCCCTCCCTCCCTCCCTCCTCCTCTCCTCCCTCCCTCCCCCTCCCTCCTCCCTCCCCCTCTCCCTCCTCCCCCTCTCCTCCCTCTTCCTCACGCGTTAAACCACCGACCCTGCAAGTGGAGGGTATTAAGTGCTCTTCTTGTGGCGGGGCGTCGGTCATTTTGCCTTTGTCGTTTTGGATTTTATTTTCTCTCTCACTTTTGCTACATTTCACTTTCTGTTTTTCTCACTTCTGTTGTCGTTCTGTGTCTTGTCTTTCTCAGTCGCCCTCTTCCTCTAGTATTCGCCAGTTTTTTTTCCTATTTTCTCTTTCTCTCCTTGTCTTCGTTCTATCTGTCCATCGGAATGTTTTTCTTCTTCTCACTTTTGCTGTATTTCTCTTTCTGTTTTTTTTTTTCTCACTTTTGTTGTCGTCTTTCTCAATCGCTCTCTTTCTTCGTAGTTTCGCCATTTTTCCTATTTTCCAATTCTTCCCTGTTCTCTCTTCTCTTTCTCCCCTCCCCATTTCACCGTTTTACCATCGTACATCGATCCATCAATTTTTCCATCCATCTTCATATCTCTTTCCGACCTCTCTTCTCTATCGCACCCCAATCTCCCTTCTCGCTTCTATCAGCTTGTCTTCCCCAATCTTCCCTATCCAAATCTTTCCCTTTCTTTTTCTCACTGTTTCATTTTCCTCCCCTCTCCCTTCTCCTTCCCATTCTTATTTCCTTACCGATCTATTCCATCTCCCCACTTCTTCCATCCTATATCTCTTATCCTATCCTCCTTCTTATCCTTCCCTTCCCTTTCCATCCTTCTTCCTATCCTTCCTCTCCTTCCTTTTTCCTCACCTGTCCACCATTCCCCCCTCTCCTTCGTCACCTCCCCGCCCATCTTCATCCATCTATTTCTTCCTTCCCACTCCTTCCATTATTCCATCCATCCTTGAGATCCATCCATCAATCCATCCATCCACCATCACTCCCATCAATCCATCCATCCAGTCCTTCTCTCCTTTTCTTTCTCTCTCCAATCCATCGTCCATCCATCCTTCTCTCCTTTCCTTCTCTCCATCCATTACCCATCCCTTCCCTCTTCTCCCTCCCTCCCTCCATCCATCTCGACTTTCACCTCGTATTCCGCTCCCTTTCCGACTCACGCTAACATCACCTCGTTTGCCTTTCGCTTTTCGAGGCATCTCTGCTTTCTATCACCTCCATTTTTTTACATTCGCGGATAATTAGGTCTTTTCGTTATATATTCACGCTATTTCTAGTTTTTGTAATTTTTTATTTATTTTTTCTGTTTTATTTTTTTTTCTAATCGCTTTTGTTTTACTTTTTCTGTTGTGAGTTTTTTTTTCTGTGTTTGATTGTTTTTTTTGATTTTATGTTTTTTATTTGTTGTTTTTGTTTTGTTTTGATTTGATTTTTTGTTCTTTTCGTGATTTTCCGTGACCTTTCTCGCCTTTGACCTTCCTTGCTGCTTAGACGTCTTTTTCTGTTGCATCTCCTCCGGTCCTCATGATCTCTTTGTTTTTAATTTCTCTTTCTATGTCGTCTCCTCCGTCCCTTATCTTCATCCTTCCCATTTTCTCTTTCTCTTCTTCCCCACCATCTTTCGTTCTCCTTCTTTCCTTCTTCTCTTTCTCCTTCTCTCCTTCCCTCCTTTCCTTCTCTCTCTCCGATCCTCCCTTCCTCCTCCTTCCCCCTTCCCTCCTTCTCGTTCTTCCGCCCTCCCTCTCACCCCCCTCCTTCCCTTTCACCCTTCCTCCCTCCCTCTCACCCTTCCTCTCTTCCTCGTCCCCATTAACCTTCAACCTCCACCTTAACCAAGACCTTTCTTTATCAAACATACCCCCCACCCCACTCCCACTCCCCACATACCCTCCACCCCCACCCCCACATACCGTGCAACACAGAACACCCCACATACCCTCCACCCCCCACCCCCTACATATCCCCCACTCCCCACATACCCCCCACCCCACTCCCCACATACCCTCCACCCCCACCTCCACATACCGTGCAACACCAGAACACCCCACATACCCCCCCCTTATACCCGACTACCCCCCCCCTCCCACTCCCACATACTCTCCACCCTCCACCCCCACATACCCCCCCTTCCTATACCCAACTCCCTCCCCCCCTCCCTTAGTACACATCGTCATGAAATCACTTGCAAGTCACTATTGTTAACACGCGCACCTGCCCCCCCCCCCCCCGTGGTATATTTGCGCTTGCGGTGGTCCCGTAGGTAAGAGGAGAGTGATGAAGAGAGGGAAGAAAAAGAGAGAAGAAAAGAGATCATGTTGGTCGGAGGAAAAGAAAGAGGTGGAAGGGAATTGTAAAGGGAGGGAGAGGAGGGGAGGGGGAGGGGGAGGGAGGGGGAGGGGGATCGAGAGGGAAGAAGAGGGAGAGAGAGAGGAGAGAGGGAGAGAGAGAGAGGAAGAGAGAGAGAGAGAGAGAGGAGAGAGAGAGGAGAGAGAGAGAAGAGAGAGGAGAGAGAGAGAGAGAGAGGAGAGAGAGAGAGGAGAGGAGAGGGGAGAGAGAGAGAGATGAGAGAGAGAGAGAGAGAGGAGAGAGAGAGAGAGAGAGAGGGAGAGGAGAGAGAGGGAGAGAGAGTCGAGAGAGAGGAGAGGGAGGGAGAGGGAGGGAGAGAGAGAGAGAGAGAGGGAGAGGAGAGAGGGGAGAGAGAGAGAGAGAGAGAGAGAGAGAGAGAGAGAGAGAGAGAGAGAGAGAGAGAGAGAGAGAGAAGAGAGAGAGAGAGGAGAGAGAGAGAGAGAGAGAGACGGGAAGGTAGAGAGAGAGTGAGACAGACAGAGTAAGTAAGAATACGAATTAAAGAAGATATATGAGGCGGAAGGGAACGCAGAACGGAAGAAAAGAGAGGAAGAGTAAAAAAAATGGATACGAATTAAGGAAGAAAGAGAGGCGGAAGAGGAGAAGAAACGAGAATCAGCTTTGGACACATTTCTCCCTCGCTCGTTTTCCCTGCTTCGTTTTCTCGACCTCTCCCGCAAGTCACGTTTCTTTTGTCTTGACTTGTTCTCCTTCCGTACTCTTTGGCCCTGTCTTTTACTCGCTTCTCCCTTCTTTCTCGGTTTCTCTTCCTCTTTCCTGTCTTTTTTTTCTTATTTTTTCCTGTTTCACGCTTCTGTTTTCCCTGATTCTCTTTTGTTTTTCCTTTTTTATTATTTTTTTATTTCCTTACCTTTTTACTTTCTCCTTTTTTTTTCCTTTTTCGCTTCTTTCTCATTATTATTTCCCCGTCCACCTTCACTCCCCTGTTATCCTCCCATTTTCCTCCCCCCACCCCCTTCACCTCCCCCTTATTTCTTCCTCCTCCCTGTTATTTTGCCCTCCCCCAATCTCTTCTATATTTCTTACCCTCTCTTTCATCTTTTCCTTCTCCCTTCCTGTCTCCCTCCACCTTTCCCCTCACCCTCTCCCATTTTTCTCATTCGCTCTTCCACCTCCCCGGCCCCCATTTCTCTCCTTCTACACTGTCCTCTCTCTCCCACTTCCATTCCTCCCCCTCCACCCTATCCAACCCCTCCCCCATTCCTTCTCTTCTATTTCTCCCTCTCCGCCTTCCCCGTTCTGTTCCTTCCACCCTCTCCCCTTCCCTTTTCTTCCCTGCCACTCACTCCCCTCCTCCTCCTCTTCCTCTTTCCTTCCTCCCCTTCCACCCTCTCTCTTTCCCCTTCCACCCCCTTCTCTCTCCCTCCCTCATTCCTCCCCTTCCACCCACTCCCCTCCCCTTCCCCATCCTTCCCCTTCCCTCCCCCATTCGTCCTCTTCTAACCTGTCCACTCCCCTCACCCTCCCTCCCCTTCCCCATCCTCCAACCCCACCCTCCCCATTCCCCAGCCCCTCAAGATGGTGATCAATCGTGTTCATCTTTCTCTCCTGTTCTCACACCTTCACCTCCTCGATGATGGAGATTCGTTGCGATGCCCGGTGATTTCATGGCGTCTCTCTCGTCCTTTTTTATTTTTTTATTTGTTCGTCTCTTGTTTTTTTTTTTTTGTTCGTTTGTCTTGTATTCTCTTTGTTTTTTTGTATTCTTTATTTATTCTTTCTTAATTTTTTAGTTTTTCTTGTTTTC